TCGAATTTATAATCCCTCGTAACGGTGAGCAACAGACTTGTAACAAACCAAGCACCATCCCCAAACTCTTTTAGCCTGTTTCCCAATGTACCCAAGCAGTCTACTATGAGAAAAATACTTTAGACAGCTTTGCCCTACATAATAAATGTAAAAATTATATATATATATAGCAGATATATATATATATAAAAAAGAATGAAAATGGTTTGAATTCATGTCTTCCTTTCTTGCAACCATTAAAGAAGTCTAGATTCAGCTGAAAAATTACTTCTTTTTAATGTGTTGACTTTAAAATCAGATTTCTCTGTTCATGAGGTTTGCTATTTTCATGGGAAAATTAACAACACAATAACAAACTTCAAACAAGTATATTTAAAAAACAGAAATACTAATCTGACTAACATATAACACTGACCAAGTGATATTCTGAAACCCTTGTTGTTTCATTTATTGCATACATATTGTTAATTTCTCATGAAGAATTCAGTTGTTATTTCCCATTGCATTTCATATGTTAGCACTTCCCACTGGAAATTAGATCGGAAAAGAAATAAATTGCAAACACCTGCAGTCAAAAGGCTGGCATTAGTACTCCTCTGGATAGGTTGTAACATCACAACATGTCAACCCTTCTGTTGTTTCAGAAAACTGGGTGGACTTCAGTCTTCACATTGCTAAAGACTTTTACAAAGACTATAACTATTGCCATTGTAAATAACTTTTTAGACCCAAACAAAAATAGCTGCTGTGTGGTGTACCATTGCAAGGTCTTTGTTTAGGAATTTAGGTTCCACTCTTCACTTCAAAATTTACAGTTTTAAAATTTGTTAAAGCTAAGTGCAACACAGCTGTTAAATTGTAATGCAATGGCTTAAAACCTACAATGTTACTTTTACATGCAATGTTTTATGCAAAATTGTACGCTTGATCCTGCAAACCGCTTGTACTTCACCAATACCATCACTTTTCTTCTCCTTGCCCTCAATAGCATCTGAGAAAATTCCATGCATGCTTTGAAAAAAAAAATAATTAAAAAAAATAATTTAAAAAAATAGGTTCGGTCAGCCATTGTAGGAGAAGGCTTTATGGTATACTAGAAAATAATAACAATTTATTTATTGTGTCTACCTTAAAATTCCTATAATGCTGACTTTGAAACTCTGGTTTAAGTCTAGAAGTGAGGTTTTTAATTTAAAAAATTATTTGTAAACCACAGCTTGATTTAGGCTTTCAGGTGCTTTCTGTGTCTTCACTGTAGTTTTGTAGTTGACTGTGGTGTTTATTTACAAAAATAAATATAATATAGCATCAAGTCTGTCTGGAAATGCACGATTTGCTCTGTGTATATCGTAATTAAATGGATAGTATATCCTAAGGCATGTAGTGTCAAACATAGCCCATAGGTACGAGGTTTGTTATTTTTTATGTCTTCAAAACAGGAAGGAAATTATGACAGAAAGCAGGGTTAAAGCATACTGTTTTGTGAATGTTTTGTTTTGTTTGCTCAAACCTTCACATTATCTTATCCACACACACACACAAAAAAAAGTTATTTCGTAATCGTTTGTGCCTGATTTGTCACATTAAATAGAGATTGAAACTAAATGTGTCATAATTTAACTCATTGAAAAATCAGCATTATGGATATGATACAAGTGTATATTCTGTTCCTTAAAACCCAGCTGACTCATGTTAAGGAAGTGAGCACAAAGGAGTTCTTTTTCCATTAATGCTCAGCTTAATGATGCATGGAAAATTAAATAACATCACAAACTACGTAATGCAGTGAATCCAGATGTACTTGAGAGCCAAGTAAATATTCTAAAGCTAACAGAGCTTGAACCCATGCTGCCTGTTATGCCTTTTACTAAAGAAGTATATAAAATAAAAAGTAAAAAAAAATCTTCCAGGTTTTGCTGACTCCTGCTCACCGGTGAAAATCAATGTAATTAATCCATTAACATGCTGCTGCCATTTATTTAAGTGGCCCAGAGTAGTATATGGGGATATGATTGTTTAAAAATGTTTAAAACATTATGGATACGCTGCAAGACCGTTTATTTATAAGTACAATACCCCTTATATTATTTTAATACTAACAAATTCTGTCAGTTAATTAAGATCATATACTGATCTTTCAAACTCTTTAAGGTTTACATTTGATAGGAGAAATGGGGTTAGTAGCAAAATATTTTTATATATATTTTTATTTTATTTTAAGCACTATGAAGAAATATTAATTCACATGGTCTTTCAGTGAAACCATAAATAATTTTTAATGACTTTGTAATAGAGTGGACAATATCTAGGATTTGTATGTTAATTTAAAAAAAATAATCGTACAGGGTATAAAATTATATACGTATATATATGTATGTATCAATGTATATATACTTAGATTAAGAAACAAATGACTCACATTCCTGTAATATAAAGGTCCATTGCTAGTTTCAGAACTGACCTATTTTCTCTGTACATAAGTAAGCCCATAAGTATGAAATCTCACGTCTGTACAGGATGAAATGTATTAATGAAAAAGGTTGGATCTTACTGCTGCTGGGAAGACTGTAGATCTGATTCTTACAATAACTGTATGATCAGGGATGAGTTAGATTTTTTCTTTTGTCTTTTCTCAAAGACATAAATAAATATATATAAAAATTATTAATAAATTGAAGAAAATATATAAAATATAAAGCCATGCATTTTTTTTTTGTTCCAATATCTTTCTAACTGAGCAAATTTTGCTTCACCATGAAAGAAGAACTAAGGACTGGTTGCTTTTCTCTTTTTGTTGTTTGGAGCCCAGAATTTTAAGGGTGGGGAGGTGGGGAGTGTGCCTGAGTAATTCAGTGCACTGTAGGAAAAAGAGGGCTTAGAAATTGTAGGATACTACCTGATTTATTCAAACAATTCCTGAGCTATATTTCCCTCTGTAGATTCATTAATTCATTATTCAAAAAATATTTTCCTCACAAAACACTTATTTAAGCCATTACCACTATCCTGTAATATTTATTGAGTATAAATATGTGAAATTGTAGTTTATTTCCTGAAGAAGAATCCCAAGTAGTTGCTAGTGTAACTTGAGTAAACTTGATCTTTAGTGCCATTAAATGACACATGCAGGACAACCAAGCAATCAAGCCCAGTCATCACATGTTTATGAAAGGCAGGTCCTGCTTGGCTAACCTGATCTCCTTCTATGACATGCTGAGCCACATTATGGGTGAAGAAAGGACTGTGGATGTCTTCCTGGACTTAAATAAAGCCTTTGACATTGTGTCCCATGGCATCCTCCTAGAGAAACTGGATGCTCATGGCTTGGACTGGCAAACACTTAATTGAGTGAAAAACTAGCTCGCTGGCTGTGCCCAAAATGTTGAGGTAAATGGAATTAAATCCAATTCATGGCCGGTCACAAGGGGTGCTCCCTGGGGCTCCATACTGGGGCCAGTTCTCTTTACTATCTTTATCAATGATCTGGATTAAGGGATCACGTGCACCCTAAGTAAATTTGCAGATGACACCATGTTGGGTCGGAGTGTTGATCTATGTGAAGGTAGGAAGGATCTACAGAGGGATCTGGACCATCTGGTCCAAGGGCAATTGTGTGAGGTCCAACCAGGCCAAGTGCCGGGTCCTGCACTTCAGTCACAACAACCCCATGCAATGCTCCACTCTTTGGGAATACTGTCTGGAAAAATGCCCAGTGGAGAAGGAGCTGGGGTTGGGATATTGGTTGATGGCTGAATTTGAGCCAGCAGTGTGACCACATGGCCTCAAATCCTGTACTCATTTTTGGGCCTCTCACTACAAAAAGGACATTGATGTGCTGGAGTTTGTCCAAAGGGCAATGAAGCTGGTGAAGGGTCTAGAGCACAAGTCTTAGGAGGAACAGCTGAAGGAACTGGGATTTTTTAGTCTGGAGAAAAGGAGGCTGAGGGAGACCTCACTCTCTACAGCTACCTGAAAGGAAATTGTAGACAGGTAGGTGTTGAACTGTTTTCTTAGGTAACAAGTGGTAGGACAAGATGAAATGGCCTCAAGTAGCACCAAGGGAGGTTTAAATTGGATATTACAAACAAAAATTATTCTCTGAAAGAGTTATCAAGCACTGGAACTGGCTTCCCAGGGAAGTGTTAGAGTCACCTTCCCTGAAGGTATTTAAAAGATGTGTAGATGTGGTGTTTAGGGACATAGTTTAGTGGTGGACTTGGCAGTGCTGGGTTAAACATTGAACCTGATCATCTTAAAGGTCTTTTCCAACCAAAGCAATTCTATTTTTCTATGATTCTGTGATTAGTCTTGGTAGGTTCCATGTTGCACTTGACATCACAAAATCCAAGACATTCTCTGGCCTGTACATTGAGTACAAAGATTTTATTACACCCTTTTTTCAGGGAGCAACATGTGTGCAGTCTCACTCCTGTTTTGTTGGTGCAGTGTAGAAGTCTTCAGTGGAGAGATTTGTTTTGAAGTAAGAAACGTTCTGTATCATAGGGCAGTTACTTCAGATCACAGTCTTCAGTGTGCAAAGACAGGCATTTTGAGGTTCTAGATCAAGCTTTTATTTTTAATTTATTGTGTTTTTTATTTATCTGAAAAGTCAAGATAAGAAATGGATTTGCTGTGCTTGTTACAGCAGAGTTGTAGCCTGCATTGTTAAGAAGATGCTTACAGCATGTTATATTATTTGGACTGTTGGTGTTGTATCACAGGTGTTGGAGCCCTGAGCAGAAATGTTGAATGCTGTGGAAAATCCAAGAGAAGCGTTT